GGGCCGGTTTTTCATCCTGAGTTGTTTTTTGACGGCCCAGGGGCCCAGCGAGGGCTTCCAAGGGCCGAAGACAGCAAAAACACCCTCGTCGTCCTGATTCTTCTCTCACGACGCGGCCATGTCTGGGGCTCTCAAGTTGCCGCGCGAGGCCTCCAGGATTTTCCTTTCAAGGGGGTAGGAACTCAGGAGCAGGAGGAGGAGGAGGAGGAGGAGGTGGAGGAGGAGGAGACTGGCCAGCAGGCAGAGCCCCTGTCGACGGCGTCGCCGCTCCCGCCTCCGCCGCCGCAGCCCCACGAGGCCAAGCGCCGGCGGCTGTCCGCCACGAGCTCGCTCCCGCTTTGGCCCTCCAGCCTTGGAGCCGGCTCGGGGGCTGACCCGGACCCAGACGCGATCGCGTCATCAAAAGTATCCGGACGGGAGGGTTTTGGCCGTTTTCGGCCTGGGGGGGCCCTCGCCAGGCCTCGGGACTGTCAAAAAGCGGCAGGACCCGGGGAAAGGGTCGGGCTTTCCAGGGACCCCGTAGTTATCGAGAGAATCAGGACGTCGCATGTCCGGGAACATCCTCCGATGTGATTTTCTTTGAATCCGCGGCCCCAGAGGTCCCGACCTTCTTCGTGGGGTAGTTTTCCCTCCCAGGTCCAGTTCTGATGGTCCCAGGTCCCGACGACGGGCCCAGAGGCCGAAACCAGAGCACAACGCCCAGACTGAGAAATAATATCGTCGGAGATCTGGGGAGGTGGCCCGGCACCCCAGGCCCCCTCGTGTCGGGTCATGACACAAATCACGATGGACAGCTCTTCGATGCTTTCGGCCTCGGGGGGCCCTTGCTGGCCCTCGGGACCGTGGAAAGACGAGGGGTGAAAAGCTTGTCCTCGCGGAGTGGGGTTAGAAAGCTGAGGGTGAACGTCATTCGAAGAAGAAAGAACGCTATAAAGACAAACTTTTGGGCGCTCCGCGCGGCTCTCTTGGCTCCGCGCTGGGCCCCCCCGGCGGCGCCTCCAGCGCCGCCGCTGGCGCGCTCCGCGCGCCAGGGAGGGGGAGCCAGCGCGGATCAAAAAAATCCGCGCGGAGCGCCATTTTTTTTTTGTTGTTGTTGTTGTTGTTGTTGTTGTTGTTGTTGTTGTTGCTGTTGTTGTTGTTGTTGTTGTTGTTGTTGTTGTTGTTGTTGTTGTTGTTGTTGTTGTTGTTGTTGTTGTTGTTGTTGTTGTTGTTGTTGTTTTTGTTATATATATAAAAATAAAAAACACTATATCTTCTTCTACGAAAAACGAATCGGGGTGAAAAGCTGGTCATCCTGGGAATGGGTCCAAGAAGCTGGGGGTGAACGTCATGAGAAATTCACGACGTCGGGGGCTTGTCAGGAGGGGAAAACCACACAGACACTAATAATCGTCCATTCCCAAGGAGATCTGGGAAAATAGGGGGGGGGGGAGGGAAGCCGAAAGTCGAGCAAATGTGTCCAAATATGGTGAATCCTGGGATGTGTGTCCCTGGGCCCCTTCAGTTTGGGACAGGTTCTGGCCAGCAGCGAGGGGGGGGGGAGGCCTCGTCGCCCCGCCTGGCCGCGGCTCGAAAAGCTCTTCAGCTCCGACCCCGCTTTTGAGCGAATTCGCCCCTTAGGGATTGACGACTTTTAGCCAATCAACTTGTGGGGATCGAGCGAGCGAAATCCAGGCAAATGCAGATACGTCGAGGCACATCCAGGCAAATCTGGGCAAATCTGGGTAAATCCAGAGATCCCCAAGAGAATGTTGAGCAAATCGTGGCCGCTCCAGCGCGAGTTGAGGGACGGCTTGAGTCGTTAAAGTACTTAACGAGCTTTCACGAGTTTTCCGGTGTCCATGTCGATCCGATTTGATCTGATTCGATACCTGCTTCGGCCATTTTGGGTTCGATTCGATTCCGATGTTCCGACGATCCGATGCGCCCCGATGCTTGCATGGCACCGTTGTGCACTCTGACCCAGCCGATCCGATTCGATCTCGACTTCGCCCCGACGAAGCCCGAGCCGACGCGCAGTCCGATTCCGTCGGATTTCCCGATTCGAGGCTGTCCGATCCTGGCTTCCTCCGGGTTCATCCACCCAGACATGCGACGCCCAGATTTCTTCGACACGGGGCCCCTGGAAGTCCCGACTCTCTCCGGGCAGGTCCTCCGCCCTCGGCAGTTTTTTTTTGACGGCCCCGAGGCCCGGCAAGGGCCCCCCAGAGGCCGAAGGTAGCGAGAAACCTCCCGCCGCGATTTTTTGACAGCGCGAGGGGGGTCTCGGGTTAAGTCGGGCCTGTCCCTCTACAGGAGGAGTATGACAAACTGGTATAGTCTGGGGTCGATTTCTTGACAGTTTTGGGATGTTTTTGAATATTTTCTGAGAACTTCTTATTTGTCGTCCAAAATCCGCCTGTAGGGGGACAAGCCCGACCTGAGTCTGGGGATCCTGGCTCCTTTCGGGCTCCTCCGGCTCGGACCCCCTGGCCGCCTCCGAGCCCAGCCCGCTGGGCGGGCCGGCCTCTCCGCAGCTCGGCGCCCGGCGGTCCCCGCTGCTGTTCCCCCGGAGCCCAGCGCAGGGCCTCCCAGATGGTCGGTCGGAGGTGGATAGACCTCCTACCCTGACACGTCGATTAAGGAATTGGCCGTTTTCGGTTCGCGAGAGGGCGTCGCGGCCGTCATTTTTGCGTGTCCAGATCCGTCGGCTTCGGTCCCAGGCCGCTTTCACTAAGGGGAGGTTTACTAAAGGGAGGTTTGTCCTCCGCCGAGTCGGGGGCCCCCCAAGCCGTGGCGGTGACCACACCGTGTGGTGAGTCGGGTCGTTCTCCGAGGACGTCTCTTGCGGCTGGGGCATCCGAGGTCCCAGAAGCGTGCGTTGACGGACCGTGCGGTGAGGTCTTGGGGGACTTCGAGGTCACCGCACGGTCGGTCACCGCACCGTTTAGGGACTCCAAAAGATGGTCTAGAGAGCCAGGCGTTGCATTCGGTAGCAGATCATGTGAGCCTGACATGCCCTCTTGATTCCGCCTTGAGCGTCGATTGGCGCCGATTGGCGTCTGAGGGTCGGTGCGACAGCGCCGATCCAGTGTCGATTTGGCGTCGATTTGGCGTTGATTTGGCGTCGGTGAGCGTCGATGCGCAAGAGCCGACAAGATGATATGGGAGGCTCCCATGAGTTGCCACCGAGCGATGTCCCCGAATTTCTCATGGCGCGATTCCCAGAAGGCCCGACCCTTCCCCAGTGCCGGTTTTTCGTCCCGAACAGTCGCCAGAGGTTTGGACTTCTTCAATTCGTCGGAGGTATGGGAGGCTCCCATGAGTTGCCGCCGAACCGCTTCGGGCTTCGGGCCCCCGGGCCATCACGGAGCGGCCGGCTCGAAGAAGAGTGCCGCATGCAGTCAACCCGCATAGCAAGGATGAGCGAGTTTTCCAAGGTTGCCGTTGCATCCTTGCCCCTTCGGCCCATCCCTGACAACTTTCGCTGGCCAGCCCCATTCGAAAAACGTCAACATGGCTCTCCAAGGCCCTTGCATCCTTGCCGCGCATCCTTACTATACGGGTTGACTGTAGAGCTGGGGCCCCCGAGGCTCCCCGGTCGTGCTTCTCTTCGCGGCGGCTCTTACGCCGCGGCGTCGCGGCGGTGGATCTCACGGGGTTGGCCTGGGCAGACAGTGCCAGGTCCGAGGCCCTCGCGTTTGAAAAAATCACGACGGGAGGAGGCGGAGGAGGAGGAGGAGGAGGTGGAGGAGGAGGAGGAGGAGGAGGAGGAGGGAGGGAGGGAGGGAGGGAGGGAGGGAGGGAGGGAGGGAGGGAGGAGGAGGGGAGGAGGAGGAGGGGAGGAGGGAGGAGGGAAGGAGGAGGAGGAGGAGGAGGAGGAGGAGGAGGAGGAGGAGGAGGAGGAGGAGGAGAGGAGGAGGAGGAGGAGGAGGAGGAGGAGGGAGGAGGAGGAGGAGGAGGAGGAGGAGGAGGAGGAGACGGCGACGGTTGCCAGGCCTCGGGGCCGCCAAATAACGGCTCGGGACGAACAACCGGTCCCGGGAAGATGATAGGGGAACGAACAGGGACATAAATACAAAAGCTCGGCGCGGACCTCTGAGTTTTTATGTTTTTGTCATTCTTCGTTCCCCTAGATCGTGCGGGATGCTTGCTTCGCATCGCCGATGCGTCGACGATGCGTCTCATATGCGGAGCCCGACCTTCTCCACGTTTACGGTACCGATGCATTGCTGACGTCGCCGATGCATCGCTGATGCATCAGCGACCGCGTTGGCGCTGCGGCGCTTGCTTCGCATCGCCGATGCGTCGACGATGCGTCTCATATGCGGAGCCCGACCTTCTCCACGTTTACGGTACCGATGCATTGCTGACGTCGCCGATGCATCGCTGATGCATCAGCGACCGCGTTGGCGCTGCGGCGCGATTTTCCCACCCCGTCCGCTCGGACGCCATTTGGGAGGCCTGCTCCAGCTGATGTGGATGCAGCAGATTGGTGGTCGCTCGACCAGCTGCCGCAGGTTTCGCCCGGGCGGTTCGCGCTGGAACAGCTGCGGCAGTACATCCAAGACTGGGAGCGAGCCAAGAAGGACGACTTCTGGCAGCGCAAGTCGGGCAAGGTTGCTCTCTCGGTCGTGGTCTGTCGGGGCATGGAGGACGGTGCGCTGGTAGCCTACCGTGGCATGAACACAGAGGTTAGCCTGCCCGCAGGTTCCCTGTGCTCCGAGCGCGCTGCCATCGGACGAGCCGCCTCCAGCTTCCAGAGGGCCTCCGACATCCTGGTGGCGGCCACCGCAGATCCCCAGGCAGGGCTGGACTTCAACGGCGTTTTTGCCATCTCGTGGGCCGTTTTGTTTTTCGTTTTGTTTTGCGTTCCAGGCGACGCGAAGGCAAACGAGGAAGTGCGGAAAACAAAGCGAAAACGAAAAACGCCGTGTACGTTCAGCCCTGTCCCCAGGAGAGGCTGAACCCCCTGTGGCCCTGCGAGGTCTGCCAGAGCTGGCTGGCCAAGCTGAGGGCACAGAATCCGGACATCAGCGTCCTGGCCGTGGAGTCCATATCTCCGAGGAGGGCGAATCGAGACGGCAGTAGTACATCGTTTTTTTATTTATTGTTTTGCCGATCGGCGCGGGCCCCCCCCCCCTTCCCCCCCCATGGAGTAGATCTTGGCTGTTTTGGGCGCCGTTTCGAGCAGGTGGAGTCTCCCTTCATAGGACCCAGGGCTGCAAACAGTCGCACTAAGCAGAGGTCCAGAGCCAGACCCCCCCCTCCCCCCTCTTCGCCCAATGTCGAAACGCCGAATGAAAAAACGCTCACTAGTTGGCCGTCGTCGCCACGGCCGGATCCAGCTCAGGAAACTGGTGCGTCTGGACCCCGGGGAGGGGTCTGTGTGTCGTTTTTGAACTGCCGCTGTTCGACCAACAACAACAAACGACACCACCCCACCTACGGCCCTCCATGTTGCGCTGCGGCCCGTCGGGGGCAGTAGCGCACACCACGCAAACATCCACGCTATGTTTCCTGGTGTGCGCTACACCCCGTGGGGCCGTAGGTTGCGTGGTGTCGTATGTGTTCTGGTCCAGGAGGGGTCTGGGGGCCGTTCTTGAGCTGCCGTTGTCTCAATGCGCCCTACTCGGACCAGCGTGCGACAAGTTCGTTGTCCGGGTGAACGGAGAGACGCAGCCCCCACCTCTGGCGTTGCTGCCTCCGAGTGTGGCGCTCGGCCGGTGGCGGAGCCGCGTGGTCTTGGCGGAGGGTAGCCAGGAGTCGACCAAAAAACAAGCGACACCACCCCACTTGCGGCCCATCGGGGGCCGTAGGGCATACCACGCAAAGGCCCACGCCAAAATTCTTGGTATGTGCCAAGCCTCCTGGGGCCTTGGGTGGGGTGGTGTCGTTTGTTTTCTGGTCCAAGGAGATGCCCTGGGACTCAGAAGAAACGGTGTACATCGATGGCTCCTGGGCGTTCATGCATGGCGCGCATCAGCACATCCTGAGGGTTGCCCGCATGCGATGTACGCACCTCCTCGTCGGCGTTCACTCGGACGAGGTGCTCGCGGAGGAGTGCGGCCGAACCACGCTGGAGGACTACGAGCTCCGACTGCAGCGCGTCCTGCACAATCGGTACGTGTCCAGCGTGCTGAAGGACGCCCCCTGGACACTGACGCCTGACATGCTGTCTAGTTTGGGAGTGAACCGGGTGATCAGGACCCCAAAGGGTGCATCTCCCCCCTCGTCAGGACGCAGGGGGGCCAGGCACGGAGCGGGCGTATCCTTCGTCCTGGCTCTGCGGGCGACCTCCGCATCGCTCAGGGGACGGGCCGGAGCCAGCAGGCCCATGTCGTCTTGCTGCCGAACCCGCAGTCTCGACGATCCTCACGACGTGTGAGAGTGCTTTTTTACCCACGCGCGTTATGCCCCCCCCCCCCTCTCAGCTCTCCCCCCCTCCCCCCCCTCCCCCCCAACAGCGTAACGCTCCCCCCCGCCCGCTGCGTCCCCATGCACTGCCGCAGTGCGTCCGGCACCACGGTCTTGTGCCGGACCCCCGCTCGGCGGGGTTCGGGGGCGTTCAGGCATGCCCCCCTCTGGACCCTCCCTCCTTCCCCCATGACGCCCGTCATAGCCGCGAATAATGAAGTGCTTTCTGTGTCAGCCCAATATGTTCGGGGGTGGACAGAACCCCCTCCCTGACACGTCGATTAGTAAATTGTCCGTTTTCGCTTCTCGAGAGGGCGCCGCGGCCGTCATTTTCCAGGCTTGCGCCCGCCAGGTTTGGGCCCGAGGTCGTTTTCACTAAACCACGTTTTGCTAAAGGGGGTTCTGTCCATCCCCGACGTGTGTGTGTGTGTGTGTGTTGCCCCGTTAAGTGTGCTTCAGCGTGGCGCGCCGCGCCAGCTCGCAGACGCGGTGGTGACCGCTAAGCGCCGCAGACACGAGACGCGTTTGCCCCGTTCAGCTCCGCTGGGAGCGTGCAGCCTGTGCCTCGGCGCCGAGCAAGGGGGGGGGAAGTGAGAAGGAGGAGACCTTCTCAGAAGGCGGCGGGCCTTCGCAGAAGCCCTCCGACCTTCTGAGAAGTTGTTTGTGTCTTCGGGGAAGGCTTAGAAAACTTCTCAGAAGGCTGGAGGGCTTCCGAGCGTTCTGAGAAGACCCGCCCCTCTTACTTCCCCCCCGTGCTGGCCGCCGAGTGCTTGTCCTCATTTGCACCGCCTCGACACGCACAATTTGGGCGCTGACGCACGTTTTTGAGCATCGCCGACAGGTGAGCGATGTCGTCTGTGCCGACACTGGCGCGTAAGCTGCCCGCGTAAGGTCGCGCGTAAGCGCCTTCCTCTCCAAAGTAGCGTGCCGCGCTGGCGGCCCGCGTAAGCCAGTGCGTAAGGTCGCTGTGTCATCTCGCGTGCAAGACCCGTTTTTGAGCATCGCCGACAGGTGATGATTGGGTCGGTCGGGAAGCTGCGCGACTGCGGCAGGGAGGACGGCGCCGACCCGTACGTCGCGGCCCGCGACTTGGGCATGCTCGAGGTCGTGTTAAATCGGGCATGCCCCTCTACAGGAGGAGTATTCAATTAATAGTAGAAAATAGTATGGCAACGATTTTTGTATCATTTTTGAATATGTGTAAAGGCTGCCGCCTCTGCCGCCGACCCCAGAACGCTGTGGCACGTACGTATGTGCACACACATACATACACACACATACGCACCGACATGAATACATGCATACACACGTTCATACAACTACAAGTGCATACAGTACGTGGCCTGAGCCCCCCCTGCATACTCACGTACATACTACAAACATACATACATGCATGCATGCAAACACACATACATACATATATGCATGCGTGCGCGCATGCATACATACATGCACACACATACAAACATACAACATTACTTACAGGCAGACTTACCTACACAAGTACACATACATATACACATACACATTCACATGCATACACTATACATACGAACATACAAACATACAAACCCACACATACATACATACATACATACATACATACATACATACATACATACATACATGCATGTATGCATGCATACATACATACATACACACATACATACATACATGCATACACACATACATACACACACATACACACATACATGCATACATACATACATACATACATACATACGTACGTACGTACGTACATACATACATACGTACAAACACACATACATACATACATACATACATACATACATACATACATACACACACATACATACATACATACATACATACGTACGTACGTACGTACGTACGTATGTACATACATACATACATACATACATGCATACATACATACACACATACATATATATATATATATACATACGTACGTACGTGCGTACGTACGTACATATAAACATTCGTACATGCGTACATACATGCATACATGCCGGCACACAGACATACTGGCATACACATACATAAACATACACATGCATGCGTATACACAGGCACACAGCGCAGCTTACATACATGGGTACATACATAACCACATACATGCATGCAGAAGCACACGCACACCTCTTACATGCGTTCGTATGCACATGTATGCATGCAGGAGTTGTCCGACCAAGCGTTGGAAGACGTCGGCATGACTTCTCGCGACCGGACGCGGGCAGCATGGTTGCTGACCACCGCGCGCGAGTAGTTCCCAGAAACGCTGTAACGCCTTCCCTGCAAGCATACGTTTATGGGCCGTACGCCGTCATCCTCGATGCAGGCTTGTCGCCGTGCCATTGGAAGCGCTGTGGCGCCTTCTTTGTCGCTGCCCTTGGTGCGCGAGGTTCTTTACAGACGCGGTGTGCAGACAGTTGTGGAGATTGAAGTGCAGGAAGCGCTTGCTGCAACGCCAGCCTTGCCAATATGGCTCCATCGCGCGCCGGCGCCCCCAAAATACCCGTTCAATGGTGCAGATCGCGAGCAGTCGATTGAGTTTTTCTGGAGGGAATTGCATCGTTCGCCGTGCGGCGTGCTGGGCGGATATCTTATTCATTTGCCCTGCACGATTTGTTCGCAGCTAGGATAATTCCCACAGGGCGAATGACCGCGGCTGGAGCATCCATTTCTACTTCACGTCTCTATACGTCGACCTGGGACTCGAGGGTTACGCCACATCCGCAATACAGAGACATTGCTCGGCTTCCTCGCGTTCCCCCCGGCGCCTTTTGCCCCTTCAGAAGGGGACAAAAGGCGCTGGCAGAAACGCGAGGGGTAGTTTGAGAGGAGTGCGAGAGAGTCGCCGAAGGAAATTGCCTCCACTGCCAACCGCAGGCAAATCAAATCATCCGACACGCTCTGCCGTGCACAAGAGGGCTGGCTGACGTTCGGCAGAGGCGCCCAGGCTCGACTATTTCAAAGTGAGGTCGGCTGCCGTCGCGGCGGGGCCAGCGACGCGCGCGGCCCCGTCGCTTTGGAGGCCGAGATGCTGGGGCCGCACCAGTCAGCAAGCAGCGCTGCAGAACCTGCGTCTGCAGCGGCGAGGGCGCCATCGCTGCGCTGGCGCCACATGCGGGCGCCAGCGGCGAGAAGCGTTGAAAATCCTGCTCCAGCCGATGAGTGCGCCCAGCGCGGAGACCGAAAACAATGGGGGCGAAGAGGAAGAAGAAAAGCCGTCGTCTTATAGCGTTGGCTGGGCGGAGAAGGCCCCGGCGCCCTCCGCCCCTCCTCCGGCGCTTCCATGCGCGGCGGGCGTCCGCGAGTGCCCGCGTGCCGTCGCATGTTTCGAGCGCGTGGAGTCGGCCAGCGCGCATCTCGCGCAAGAACGGGTACAGGTGTTCCAGGTGTTCCAAATGGAGCTGTGGCGCTGGCGCCGGGTCGGCTCGGATATGAAAGAGGGTTGCGCGCGGTGGCCGTGGTCTATGAGCTGATTCAGCTCGTCTCCGCCACGCGCGCGCACTAGATGGGTGCGCTGGAGACGCGGGGGGGGCCGGCGCCTCTCGAGGGCGACGTCGAGGGCGAGGGTGAGCCGCGCAGCGCGCCCACGAAGGCGGGTGAACTCTGCGTGTCAGCGGAGAAGCTCGCCGAAAACGACGACCTCGCGCGGCGAGCTGAAGATTTGGGGAAGGGCTTGGGGGGCGCGGCAGCGCAGGGAGGCTTGCGCGCGGAGGCGGCGAGCAGAGGCAAGCCGACGTCAGCGCTGGAGAGCCTCGCGGTTCTGGCGCGGGGGCAGTTTCCCCCGACGCCCGCGGGCGCTCGCAGGCACCTGGTTGGTCTTGTAGGCGCGGCGGGAAATCGAGATCCACGAGGGGCGCCGAGCGGGCGCAGGCCTTTCAGCGCAGCGGGGAGGGCCGGGCGCGCGCACCAGGCGCGCGGCGCGCGTCTAGAACTCAGGGGCGTCCGGCGGGCTGCCGCGCCGGGGGGCGTCGTCGTCGATCCTTTGCGGAATCGCCTCTGGGGGGCTGGGCGGGCCCGCCGCGAGTTGGACCCTGGCGCGCCCAGAAGGGCGCCGACCGCGCGCCTCCTCGCGGACGCGGGCGCCCCTTCTGTCGCGCCCGTGCGGCTCCGCGCGCAGGAGCAGCAGGGCGTCGCAAAATCTCCGACCGCGGCGCAGTGGCCGCTCGCGCGTAATCACGGTAGTCTCATGCATTCGAACGCCAGATGCAGCGTTGCTGAACCTGCGTCGGCGCGTGAGCGCGCCCCTTGCAGCCGCGTTTGCGCCCGCTGGCCGCCGCTGCCTTTTTCGCCTTGGCCGTGAGGGTTGGAGGGGGGGGGGCGGGGCGGAGGGGCAGAAGGAGGAGCAGAAGGAGGAACGGAGCAGAAGGAGGAGCAGAAGGAGGAGGGGGGGAGTGGCAGGGGGGCGGGGGGAAAGCCGGGAGAGAGGGGGGGGGGTGCGGCATGAGGCGTCGCCTGCGCGCGCTGGCGGCGCGCTCAGGAGCGCAGCTTTTGCGGGGCGCTGTCCGGCATGCAATGGCCTGTCGCGCGCGCGCCGCGCTCTCCCGCCGCGTCTTGCAGCCTGCGCCGGCGCGCGGCAGCGTTGCGCAACCTGCCTCGGCACAAGGCAATGTTTGCGCCCAGTTGCAGGCCCGCCCTTGCAGCGCCGCCCCCGCCTGGGTTCCGACGTCGGGGGTGGCGCTGCCGATAGAGGAAATGCGAGAAGCAAATCGTTGGTGCTCCGTCGTCTTGCGCGCGCGCATGGAGGGGGCGCGCCGTGCCTGCGCGCGGGCTGGCCTGAGGGGTGCTTAGATGCATGAGAGCACTGCCCAGTGGTTGCCCACGCGCGCGCGGGCTCTGAGCACGGGGCGCGCGCGTGCGTGCTGGCGGTGGCCGAGGGTGTTCGGAAGTAGACGCCCCCCCCCCGCGCGTCCTCCGCCTCGCCTACCCCGCAGCGTGAGCTGCGGCGCCGCCGTCCAGAAACGACAAGAGCAGCAACAAAAACAACGGCGATAGCGACAACAAAAACACCGCCAGCAACAACAGCAATCACAATTATAACAACGACCACATTAACAACGTCATTCCTGACATCATTACGAATGAAGCCATGAGCAACGCGAGCAGCAACATAATAGTAATGATTTAAACAAGAGTCAGTCGAACACATCATCGCGTCATCACGTCATCTCGTCGGCAACGTGCAACGCGACGCGCGCGCGTGCAATTGCCTCTGCGCGTCCGACGTGGCCGTGTCAGGCGTTCGCTGGCTCTCGCGCGCGGCCCAGCAGGTGCGTCGCGCGCGCAGAGAGGATGCTCGTGTCGTGTGTTCGCTCGCGCGCGCCCGTGCAGTCACGCCGCCGCTCCGGGGTTGACCGCGTCGCGCGTTCGGTGGAGCGCGCGTGTGCAGTGCCGCGCGTTCGTCGACGCGCGCGCCTGCAATCGTGCTGCCGCGTCAGGGTTGTCGCGCCTTTGCAGATGCGCGCGCGTGCAATCATGCCACCGCGTCAGCCTCGACCATGTCTCGCGTTCGCTGATGCACGCTTTTGCTGACGCATGTGCGTGTCATGCGTTCGCACGCATGCGCTCATGCCGCCGCGTCCTGCGCGTCCTTGGAGCGCGCCGGCTGATGCTTGCGCGTGGCCTGAAGGATGCGCGCGCGCGCGCGCTCGCGCCGCCGCGTCGCGCTTGGCCGCGCCGCGCGTTCGCTCTTGCGACCGCGCGAGACTGCGCCGACATTGCATAGAATGTGCCCGTTGCTCCCTTTCTCCTCCTGCTGCTCTTCCTCCTGCTTCTCCTCCACCTTCTTCTCCACCGCCTTCTCCTTCTCCCCCGTCTCCTCTTCCCGGCTCAAATGGCGCCCCCGGCCCTCGGGCGCGCCGGCCACCCGACAAATTCGACGCCGCGGCAGGCTCGGCGGCGGCGCCCGGAAGCGCCCCGCAACCTTCCGACCGCGATGGCGCGCGGGGCGTTGCGCGACCTCCGCGTCGGCTGCGTCGGCAGGCCCGCCGCCCAGTGGCCGCAGGGGGTCTCCGGATCGGCTTCCACGCCGTCGGTTGGTCAAGCGGGCCCGCGGTGATAGCCGGGAACGCGTGCGCTTAGCGTGCCGGGAA